AATTATGTAATTTTTGGAATTATTACTCTTTATTAGTAAGAAAATGGGTAGTCCATTCTGATTCGTTTTTGGTGAAAAATGAACCTCTTTAAAAAATTAGAAAAGTTTGCGGAAAAAACTTATTCATATTATAACTTGTTGAGCAAAGAAAAAGATTTTCTAACATTGAAAAAAAATTTGTCAATAACGATCAAAGCCAATCAGATTCCATTGCATAAAGTTTAAAGCTGTGATCAATTCAAACTGACGATTTTGTGTTTACATTCATTGTATGCAATTAATCTAAAGTTGAATTTTTTTATCATTAATCACCTCCGTAATTTTTTTCATGTCCATTTTTGAACTTTCACTAACCTCTTATCGACAATTTGTAACAGTTGATTAGAAATAATGTTATAAATGATAATGCTATCAAAATGAATATTTCGTTTTGTGATACCCAGTTATCAGGTCTCGAAATATCACATGGCATTTATATTTAGAACATCATAAAAGAATATACACTCTCCTCCAAAAATAATTCGAACCGTCGAGCAAAATTATTGGCCTAAAATTCATTTTTGCCAAGAAAGTGAAAAATCGTTATTAAATTTTGGCTTGAATATAAAACGAAAGCGTCATCTATTTACCGAAACAATCAAAAAAGCATATTTAAAACTCTGTTTTATGAGAAATCGTATTCAAAAGTAGAAAAAGTTTGTTTTATTCTTAAAAATTGAATAGAAAATAATTGAGAACTGACCCATCGAGAAAACATTTCTTGTGGCTAGATAAGCAAAATATTTTTCAGCAAAAAGCGAAACTAGAAAAAATCAATCAAGGAATGACCTATAACTTATCAGTTAAGTGTAGATCTGGTTTCAAAAAGTTTTTTCGACCAATCTAATGTTAATGGAAGAATTTCAATAAGGTTCTAGGGTAGCATTAGGCCTAATGAAGTCGTTATATTGTTCTTTGGATATTTTTCTCAAAGACCTGAATGTAATTGAAAACACTGTTGATTTGTTTGCTTTCTATGGAAAATGAAACGAATCCCGTTCCTCGAAAACGCAGCAACAGTTAATTTAAAAAACATTTGATATCTGGAAAGGTGTTCCTCACTATTTCATCGAAAAATTGTATTGCTCAATTCCTTGCTGACTCTGTGCTGTTAAGTTGTTTTGCGGGTATAATGAAATGATGGATGGACTTTAATTTTAAACATATTGCGCACATGATGACCTGTTTCATGATTGGCTGAAATTTTGACCTGATTTCTATTGTCATTCTTTAAATATTATTTAATTACTTTTCCTTCGTTTTATTTACTTGACCCTGTACTGACACAACATTGGCTTCTGTTCGGATACTTTTGGGAGAAAAGTGTATATCTAAAAAGATAATATAAATATGTTTACCTTTGTATGTTTAGCTGGTGACTTTCACAAACAGCAGCTAATTGTTTCTGGACAGCCAGCATTTGCCCTGCAAATAAAGTGAATATCCATCAACAAAAAGTAGAGGCATAATGAAACATAAACAATAAAATCAAAGAAACATGAAGAATTACAAAAGTTAGGGCAGTATTCAGGGACAAATAATAAACAATCAGCAGTAAATTGTGTAGGCCATCAATCAGCTATTTAATTCATTTGAAGATCATCTTCTGGTGCATTAGTCAACTTTATACAAATCTTAGGACTCAGAAAAATGAAACTTTAATTAATATCTTATTCAGTGTAATGAAATGATATTAATCTGATGATTACAAACAAAATAATATAGGTCATAGTGTTGTATTAACGTAAGAATGGATATTAATAGAGATTAACATAAGTAATAGAATACAAAAGTAGATGTCACTAAAGATCCCTAAGTCTTAGTACCCAATAGAAAAAGTCTCTTAATATGCAGACAACAGAAATATATATTTTAAAAATGATAAATAAATATTTTAACCTTTGAATGTTTTTGGGGTGCATTTCACAACCAGCAGATTTTTGTTCCCAGACGACCAGCAGTTTACTCTGTTAAAAAAGTGAACATCCATCAACAGAAAGAAACAGGCAGGATGAAACAAACAATAAATGGAAGAAACATGAATTATTAGGAAAATTAAGGCAGTGAATGGGGAAAAAAACAACCCAGGAAAAATTTGTAGGTTGTCAATCAAATATTAAAGCACATTTGCATAGAGACATTTTATGTTACATAGATGATGATCAGAATACATTTGAGAAATTATCTTCCAATCCATCATTAATCAATAATCATTTCACAAAATATCTTTCAAAACAGTGAAACTTTAAATAATAATCTTATAATAGATAAGCGTATATCTAAAAAGATAAAATAAATATCTGTACCTTTGTATCTTTTGCTGGCGACTTTCACAAACAACAGTTGATTGTTTGTGGACAAGCAGCATGTTATTCTGTAAATAAAGTAAACATTCATCAACAAAAAGGAAAAGCCAGATGTAACATAAATAATAACATCAGAAATAACTTGGAGTATCATGAAAATTAGGAAAATTAGGGCAGTGGTTACGAACAAATGAGAAACAATTTAAATTTTCTAATTATAATGGCAGAAAAATTTTAGAAATTGTCTTCAATGCATTAACTGAATATCACTTCGTGCAAGTCTTTCCTTAAGGAATTGGAACATTAAAACTTAAATTCATTATTATTTAGTGCAACAAGAGGAATATTAAACTGGCTCTTATAAAAAAATATATAGGTCAAAATAGTATAATGAAGAGATAAAAATAAAAGTTACACAATGTAAGAAAATATATCATCAAAATTCCTGGAGTGAAAGTATCTAGTAGCAAAGGTTTTTTACATGCAGGCAACTTTTTTTCCTTTTTAAATGATTATCATTTTAAATATTAATCAGTTATAAAACATTTCACTGTGTGGCTGAACATTTTGGAGATAAATTGGCAAAGTTTCATTTTTTGATGAGAAGATTAATATTTTACATGTTCAAAAATAAAAAAATTAAACATTTCTACCTTTGCCCTTCTTGCGGGGGTATTTCAAAAACAGTAGATTGTTTATTGACAGCAAGCAGTTTACCCTGTCATAAAAATGTAGAATTATTAACAAAAACCAAAAAAGACAAAGATTTAAATCTGGATAAAGACCAAATAATCATTTTAGCTTGTCTTCATCAAGACATTTCAATGTAATACAGATGAGATGACTATCGAAATATGATTAAAGTAAAAATAATCTTCAAGTAATTTAACAAAAAAGAACATTATCTTGAAGTTGCCAGACTTGCACTGCAAATTGAGTTTATTACATTTCTTAAATCTGCCAAGTAAGTCTCAAGATGAGAATTTGCACTATATTCCCAAACTCTTGTCTTGTTAAGACGAGGAACAATATTTCAAAAAGTTAAATCTAGGTCCATATATAAGACATAGCAAGTGTCAACAAACCTTGATGGCACCTTGTTCATTAAATTCCAAGACATCTTAAATTCTTGCCCTCGAATTCAAAAAAATATGATATTAGTACATTTGCCAAACTGTAAAGCTTTCAAACATGGAGAAATTTAAAACTGAAGAGGTGGCCTTAAAAGGAAGCAGACAACAGCAAATAGATTTTTATTGTATGATCTATGATTATTTCAGCTTTCTTTCTCCCTAAGAGAAAAGTATGGTATGCTACCATATCTAGCAATTTTACTTCTGATATAGAAAAAGCACTCCAATCTTTTAGAAAAACAAAGCTCTCATTTTAAAGGTGCATCACACATAAATAAATAGCTGACTTACAACTGAAAATATATCCTTATTTTATGTTAATTAAAGACCTTTAACAAGGAACATTAAATTTTATCAAAATTGACTTTGACAACTTGAAAAAATAATTGTCTCAAAAACAGGTTCATGGAAGAAAATTCAGTGAAAGTTTGGATCAAAAGTATTCAGTAAAAATACCAAGGAATATTTACAAACCTTAGTAACATTATGCTCAAAACTTGACATAATGATCTTGAAACAAAAAAGAAAGGAAAGAAAGTTATTTCCAGACTCAAAAATCTACAGAAACATGGCACAAAAATTGTGCATTTCTAATTATATTCTTCACCAGGATAAAAATTTGCAGTGCAGCATCAAAAATAAACATATCCTTGCTCTAATTCAATTAAAGATCTTTCAAAATAAACATCAAATTCTGGAGTAGCAGTGTTTCTGGCTTGAAGAATGATTGTCTCAAGAATGGATAATTTTTTATATTATATATGGTAGACACATAGAAAAGAGTGTTTGAAATTAAAACTCAGTGAGATATTTCATCAAATATTAGACATACAAAGGGGTTAATACAAACCTTGCTGATCTCTAGCTCACAAGAATTCACCACACTTGACATGTTGAATTTGAAAAAAAATTAATGAAAAAGTTATTTCCAAGCACAAAAAATTTTCAGAACCCTGATACAAAAAATGCTAATTTCTCAATGCATCACCAGAATAAAAAGTTATAATGGAATGTTGGAAATAAATACCAATATGCAATAGTAATATAAGGTTTTAAAAATATAATCCTGGCTCAGTGGAGTTTTGAACTTGGAGAATGATTTTCTCAACAACAACATTAATATACAAAAATTAGTTAAAAATGCTAGACAAAAGAACAGAGTTTACAAACCTTGCAGATTTGTTGCCAATAAAATAAGAAGAAAATAAAACAAGAAAATAATCTTCAAGTAATTTAACAAAAAAGAACATTATCTTGAAGTTGCCAGACTTGCACTGCAAATTGAGTTTATTACATTTCTTAAATCTGCCAAGTAAGTCTCAAGATGAGAATTTGCACTATATTCCCAAACTCTTGTCTTGTTAAGACGAGGAACAATATTTCAAAAAGTTAAATCTAGGTCCATATATAAGACATAGCAAGTGTCAACAAACCTTGATGGCACCTTGTTCATTAAATTCCAAGACATCTTAAATTCTTGCCCTCGAATTCAAAAAAATATGATATTAGTACATTTGCCAAACTGTAAAGCTTTCAAACATGGAGAAATTTAAAACTGAAGAGGTGGCCTTAAAAGGAAGCAGACAACAGCAAATAGATTTTTATTGTATGATCTATGATTATTTCAGCTTTCTTTCTCCCTAAGAGAAAAGTATGGTATGCTACCATATCTAGCAATTTTACTTCTGATATAGAAAAAGCACTCCAATCTTTTAGAAAAACAAAGCTCTCATTTTAAAGGTGCATCACACATAAATAAATAGCTGACTTACAACTGAAAATATATCCTTATTTTATGTTAATTAAAGACCTTTAACAAGGAACATTAAATTTTATCAAAATTGACTTTGACAACTTGAAAAAATAATTGTCTCAAAAACAGGTTCATGGAAGAAAATTCAGTGAAAGTTTGGATCAAAAGTATTCAGTAAAAATACCAAGGAATATTTACAAACCTTAGTAACATTATGCTCAAAACTTGACATAATGATCTTGAAACAAAAAAGAAAGGAAAGAAAGTTATTTCCAGACTCAAAAATCTACAGAAACATGGCACAAAAATTGTGCATTTCTAATTATATTCTTCACCAGGATAAAAATTTGCAGTGCAGCATCAAAAATAAACATATCCTTGCTCTAATTCAATTAAAGATCTTTCAAAATAAACATCAAATTCTGGAGTAGCAGTGTTTCTGGCTTGAAGAATGATTGTCTCAAGAATGGATAATTTTTTATATTATATATGGTAGACACATAGAAAAGAGTGTTTGAAATTAAAACTCAGTGAGATATTTCATCAAATATTAGACATACAAAGGGGTTAATACAAACCTTGCTGATCTCTAGCTCACAAGAATTCACCACACTTGACATGTTGAATTTGAAAAAAAATTAATGAAAAAGTTATTTCCAAGCACAAAAAATTTTCAGAACCCTGATACAAAAAATGCTAATTTCTCAATGCATCACCAGAATAAAAAGTTATAATGGAATGTTGGAAATAAATACCAATATGCAATAGTAATATAAGGTTTTAAAAATATAATCCTGGCTCAGTGGAGTTTTGAACTTGGAGAATGATTTTCTCAACAACAACATTAATATACAAAAATTAGTTAAAAATGCTAGACAAAAGAACAGAGTTTACAAACCTTGCAGATTTGTTGCCAATGGTAACATTGAGGGCCTTGAAATAAAAATGAAATTAAAATTATTCAAATATTGGCCAAAACAGCAAAGATATCAAACAAAGATATTAGAGATTGATTTCAGATTAATTTAGAGCTTTGAATATATTATAAATTAATCTTTTAATATCTATTTATAAATGTAATTATCTCAGCTTGCTTAAAAATCTTAAACATTTTATCTATGTTTTGTTTTCCTGCTTGTCTGAAAGGGTTTGCTTGAGAGAAACGTAACTTATGAGCTTTGATTGCCATTCTCTCCCAGTCTTGAACAAATCATGTCAATGACAACAAATGAAAGGGCAAATAGAGTTTTCTTCAAACATTTTATAAGTGAAAAATTAAGTATAAAATGAAGTATTATTTTGAAGTATCAAATAATGACAAAAAGGATTAAAAATTGAGAGTAGATCTAACTAAAAATGACTCCAAACGAATTGCTTCAAATAAAACTTGCAGAATGTAAAGTAACTAAAAACACTTAAACATTTGTCTTTATTTGCAACTAAAGTTTTCAATAGCAAGAACATAAATTATATTGAAAAAATCTTTAAAATGGATGTCTAATTTAAAATTCTAAAAATTATGAACTAAAACATACCAGTTAGCTTTTCTTTAACCTTTAACTGACACCTAAGAATCATCTGGGAAAATTCAAAAAAGAAATAATCAAGTTTTGAGAAGGCAGGAATCTGGAAAAATGGAAACAACACTAACAGAATTGGATTGAGGGTTGAAAGAGCTTTTAGGGTAAATTAAGTAAAGTGAATCTCATGTTGAACTACAAAATTAAAATAATGAAAATTTTGTTGTGCCATTTTCAACTTTATAAATATATTAGAGCTTACATAATAAAAATACAAAATTCCATGCAAAGCTTGAATGAAATTTAAAGCAAAATGACAGTGAATGTTTGAAATTAAATGTTTTATCAAGTATGCCAATAGAGAATTTTTGCAAAAGAGAACTTGCTTTTTTGGCTATGAGCTTAAGCATTCATTAAAACATGTCTTTGATAAACTGGAGACAGAAATTCACCTAAAAACTCATCTGAATACAAACTAAAAATCACCAAACAACAATCGACCTGATATGTTATTAAGCTGCACAAGCCCTTCCTGGCAGCTTATAAATATATTAAACAATTTCAGCTTTAGTAACATATATTAAAGACAAGGATTTTATCTTCACAATTTGTAAGTCACAATTCAGTTTCCTCGCATAAAAAAAGCATTCCATTTCTTAGCTCTTTATGATATCAGTGCAGTTTAATTTGCAGTCATTTAACATAACTAATTAAAGCAAAGTGCTCAAATTTATTGGGCCTACATAAAGAATGTCATCTGGCGTTGGTTTTGTGTAAAGGACAGACAAAAACCATATTTTAATGTCCAAAAAAGTATTGATGATCTTTGAACACAAAAAAGGTCAAATTGAAAGTAAATTTGATGTCAGGCTGTCTATTAACACAAACACCTTCTTGTGGTGTGGCCTCCGTCTGGAAGGTTTATGAAAGAAATTACAGCAAAATGACATTACTTCTCTCTAAGAACAGTTCAAAATAGTGCAGTTGCAGTGCATTTATTCTCTTTTAAAGAAGAAATAAACAAAATATTCATACCTGTTCCCCGCCAAGAGCTATGATTGACGTCGGATCAACGAATCACTATAACTTGTCGTTTGTCTGTGTTCACTCCATTATCCTTAAAATGAGGCAAAAAGCATTTTTATCAATGCGAACAACTCCGTACATTTGCTTTTGGTGTACACTTGAATAACGAAGAAAACGGACGAGGAAAAGGAACGAAGAATCCGATACGATAGATTAGCTTTAAAAATCGAAAGCATATAGCAACAATAAGGAAGCAGAATCACAGTTTTGTATTGGGTTAGTTTCGCCTGCTTCATTTCTATTAACATGACAACCTAATAATTGCGAATGGCATCATAAATTGTCATTAGTAAACTCTCAAATCTTGTACTTGACAAAAAGGTCTTACCTAGGCTTACATGCCGTTGTAGGCCAAGATGAAGACACGAGTGTCCCTCATCTTCGACTCTTTTGTGCCAACTAATTGAATAGCAAAGAAACCAGGTATTTATAAGCATATGCAAATTTAGACTAGATTCCCAGCAGATTGTGAAACAAAGGTATCCTGTGCAGCCATTTCCACGAGCCATTTCCACGAGCCATTCCCGCCAAAATTCATTCAAATTACCCGCCAATGATGATCTCCTTCACACCACAGGGAATTTCAATAGGCGGAGGACGGGGGTGTGCCATTTTGTAATATGAAAACATACCTTAAAATTCATAATTCTTTAAAATCCTACCCATAAATTTCGATACAATATGAAATATAAATTTAATTCAAATTTCATAAAATCCAACAACTCAATCAAGTAAATAAAACCCCCTTTATTTTAAAAATGACATCCCACAATTTCTGAATATGCTAAAAATAAATCCCAAAATTTATGACCAAAATTTATGACCAGTGCCTTTAATGCGACCTTCAGTTTTTCTGTATATTTAGGTGACGTGGAGTCTTAATATTTCTCGACTCTTCAGGATTCGTTTGTAGGATCCTGTGAAAGATTGTACAATAATTCAACATATATTTCTAATGGCCTAAGGACGTTGCATGATTATATTTTGCTTGTTTAAACCCCCTAATCTTAAATAATTGTCAACGACCTGTTTTATCAGTGTTTTGAAAAGAAATCGATTGGGAGTCCATCTTTTTGTTTTTATATCTGTACTGAAAAGAAGTAAGAATCACTTCACGTTTTGCACCCTTTGATCCAACCCTCGCCTAACAATCGAGGTACACCTCGTGGGACTTCTTTGAATGTCCAATTTCGCAATCCATATTTTTCAACTCTGGACCCTCTTTGGTGATTTGGCCACCGCTTGTGTTGTCAAAGATCTTCACATTTTACAAAATCCGTGCACAAAAATATTGTTGGTTTCTAGTCTCTCTTTTTTCAAAAACAAGATGCAAATCGACACAGATTGGAGTCCTAAAGAAACAAATGAACGAGGTTAATCCCTTAAAATGTTGACTCTCTTTTACAACAGCTATCACGATAATAAATTGATAATGTAACGTAGCCAAAGTGTGTGTCCCATTTGGACCTTTCTTATCAAGGTTGTAAAAGAAGTCTTCCATTGCTTCCTCAATCTGATAAAACTACGAATGATCAATTTTTTATACCAACTTAAATTTAAAATACATAACTACAAAACTACAGTTCGTTGATGAAACCACAGAGGGCATTAAATTTCATAACAGTCCTGTGGCAATTCACAATTAACTCAAAGTATATTCCAAAAATGATTCTAACCGAGATCCCTATGGAGGCTAAACTTATACCAAGTGGAAACCCAGGTTTTGGATGATGGCAAAACACAAATTTGCTAATGTTTCCGACTTTTGTAAATTAAAAAACCAAATTGGCACAAGTAAATATTTCTAATACGTTCGTCAGTACAAAAAATTAGCATGACATTAAAAAAGAATACGGAGAAGTATATGAAAATTATTCAAATCGCAAGACTGTGTTCAAATGAAGGGGAGTCGATTCTCAATGTTTCGTAATCCTTTGTGTGCAGCAAAAAAATTAATATCTTTGAAAGAAAAGTTTGAAAACACTTTCAGAATGCTTAGAATCATTGCTTCCCTAAAACAAGCCAAATTTCGAAAAGCTAGCGAGCCCTTAAAAAGAGATCTGGGCTACAGGCCTAAGCCTTGAACAACTGTCCGTTCAAATCTTGCTCAAAGAACAACGGTCTTAAATAAAACCGAAGTCCGTGCGCATAAACTTTGCTCTGTCTAATAATCTAGACATTTAGGTTACATGTTATTTATGGAACGAACTTTAACATTTTAAAAGAATTGATAGTGACAGCTGTAATCAATAAAGCTTTTTGCAGACCTGTTTGCTTTAAAGTTCAGTCCCTGAAAATACTTTTTCAGTAACAAGCCCGGCAGTCTAAAAATGTCACTGAACTAAAATTCGTCTTTTGGTTTACTCAAGTTATAATCTACAAAATTTTAATTAGGTTCCGCCTCTAGATTTAGATTTTAGAGTACCTTTCATCAGAGGGGGGAATTAATTTTTCAGAGGGGTGGGGGAGGCAAAATCTCACAAAACAAGCAAATTTGCAGACAAATGACAAAATTTACCGAAAGAGTGCCAAAAACTGTGTTTAAACCGACAGTTTAGCAAAAGGTGGGGCTCTTTGTAAAAAAGACAACTTAGTAAAATCAGGGGAAATCTCGTAAGATAAATTAATATATAAATATCTAAAGAAATAAAACAATAAATGTTTTCAGCGAACCATCAAAGCCATCTTCAAAGCCCCAACTGTAAATCCATAGGCCAGCAGTGTATCTTGTAACTAAGTTGGATCAAGAACAATCATTTATTTGGCAATTTTATCCGGAACTGTTAATATAGATTAAAAGATTAGTCTAATACGCTATTTATGTCTTTTAGATAATTACTTTTATGAGATTAATTTTAGCTGTAAAATTTAGGCATAGGGCACAGAAGACACATTAAAACAGCAGTCTCGTTGAAGTGTAAATCTTGTCTAAGTATTCGTTTTATTATTATATAAAATACGGTAACACTAAAAGAACTAGGTCTCGGAAGAAGGACGTCCATCAAATGGGCCTATGGCGAAGAGCGTTTGTCAACACAGGGGTCTAGAGAAGAATGTTCTTCAAAACAGGCCTTTGGAAAAGAGCATTTGTCATGTTGGCTCACTGTAGAAGAACTTCTGTCAAAATGGGCCACGGTAGAGGATAGTCTACAATGACGAAAATTAACTGCTTCAAAATTGGACAATGATATTCTACCGAAAATTAACTGCTTCAAAATTGGACACTGGGATTCCTTTGTAGAAGTAATGATGATAAAGCTTATATTTACAAAAATAGTCCTACGATATCTTTACCTTGAATCCAAAAGCAGCCTTTTGACATGACTGCTCCATCAGAACAGGAAATCTCTAAATGTCCTTGCACTCTATCGGTTCGCTCCTCAAGTGCTCAAGGATGGTCATCTCCATTATCTTCGAAAAAAGTCTACTGCGTCATCAGACTGCAGCCATTCGAAAAACCAAGCAGCTTCTGAATTTTGAATCTGCCCAAATGAATTTTCTAAGCAACTGCCGGTCTAAGCATGCATAATCGACTTACTGTAAAAAGAAGAAAGATCGTTTCTCAATAATAAAATGGCTACGAAAATGGTGATAGAGATAAAATTCTTAGAGAAAAGCCTAAATATTGGGACACTCGAACTAATCGACTAATACCCAAGAAGATTAAAAGAGGTGAACAAAACAAAACATCATACAAAATAAAGATGAAAAAACAATACTTAAAAGAGTTAGGTAGAAAGAAGCATTTTATAAAAACAAATAAGCAAAATCAGTCACGGTTAGAATGTGTCTGTTTCTCTTTCTGAGCTTTTTCCTGTCTAACATATCTTTTAATCATATTTAATCGGGCCTCTTGGTTAACATCTCTTCTTGCTCGGTCACTGAAAGTTGTATTACCACGCCCATTGCTCTCAGGATATCAAAGATATGATCCCTGGCCCCTTTGAGGCATGTACGTAATACCAGATACTCTTCTAGCGCTCAACGTTTCCAAGTCTCCTTGCCAAACTCACGAACTCAATCCCACAACTCTTTCCTTCCTCTCTAGATCTTGTAAACTTTGGAATGCTTTACCCCCCTCCTGCTTTCCAGACTTCAAAACAAAAATAAAGAAGCCTGATCTTTTCTCTCTCTCTTCCTAATCCCTCCTCCCTTTTCCTTGTTAGCGCTTAGCAATAGGCTCTTGTGCCTTCCCTAGCAATACCAACTAAAGAAAAAAGACGTCATTGGCAGACATCAGAGCTTGAAGAAGTAGTTTTGACACGTCTCAGCTGGATCTACAATTGGGCATTTGCAAATAGAATTACATCTTGTGACATACCAATTCGTTGTACAAATATTATTGCCGATTTCTAACTAATAAAAAGCGATCATGAGGCAATTTTTGAACATCTATCTTGCGCTATGTATCTAGTTACGTTGTGTAAAGGAATACCAAATCCAATGGTTATATTCGAAAGAAGGATTACCAAGGCCAAGTCAGAAGCTTTCGCCAAAGAGTACTTTAAGATCGATTTGGATTCTTTCTTCTTCTGGTCATCTTTCGATGATATTCTAGTGGTATATTTAGTGAACATTTCCTTCAATTGATTCTGGCCTTCCAGCACCTGAAAACTTCCTCCAACTAAGTCAGTCCTGTAAAAAAAATTTATATTTTTTAAATTATTAACAAAATCAAAATTGAGTTCTAAAAAGAGTCTAAAAATCCCAATTTTTACAAAAAGATCTTGCAGAATTTGAGGAAAGATCACACATACATTTGGTGGAATCAATAAATGAAAGTCATTTTAAATAGTATCTTAAAAGCAATAAACGATTTATTTTATCTAGAATCCTACATCATCTGCTCGTCTTATAGCTGGTATTTCAAAAGAGACTTAAAGGAACCCAACCTCGAGCTGCTGCTTTAATTTCCTTCAACAAACGAATGTGGGTGGCAACATCTAATGAATCCTATAACAGAAAAGGACGTTCTTACTTTAAGCGAAGACAGAGAAGCAAAATCTCACTCTAGCTGAAGATGTACATCTGAGTCATCGTGAGCTGTGTTAATTTGATATTTGATTAATTCAAAACTTCGGTTTCGATTGCAAAAACAAACAAAAAAACAATGATGTAACGTATCGATGGACACATTTACGACATTGAACGATACAAGCTGCAAGAATCAACAAACCTTGAACAATATTGACAAATTGTAAGTTATCCATTTTTTGAGAATGTGCGGACAGCATGTGAATAGACCCTCATTATGAAGGGATGGTATCTTACTTACCTACTTTCAGTTAAAAGCGATTCTACAGTCATACAATAAATTTTACCTCCAGCTCAAAGGTATTCTTTTGAGATGTTTGTTTTGTCAGTTCAAGAAATATCCAAATGTCCTTGCACTCTATCAACTTTCTTAGCAAAATCATCGAAATATGTTCATCATTTTCGCTGAAAAAAGTATATTTAGCTAAAAAAATGATATCAACTAAACAAATTTGACCTTAAAATGAAAAAAGCGGTTAATTATTCCTCAACTTACAACGAAGACAAGGTAAAAAGATATATTAGAAAGCTTCGAGCTATGCTCACATGGTATAGTACAACTATTCCAAAAAAGATGAGCATTCTTCTTCAGATGAAGGATTTCGTGATAAGGGTCCTCTCCTGAAGCCGTTATCTTACGCCAATGTTTTTCTGCATATAGCATGTGAAGCTAATCAACTGAGAAGAAACTTCAAGTCACTTACAAATATACTGTTTCACTGGCAATGAATTTTCAATCTTGAAACATCTTCCCATTGTGCCTTTATTTACAGGCTAGGAGAAGTGGTGGTGACCTTCCAGGATTAAAATCTTCCAGCAAAGAAACCTTCCCTATTCAACCTTCAATCAGGCAATTTCAACGTTCAGCAATTGAATTTATCGATTGACTAATCAAGGACGGAACATGTGACAGCATAAACTCCTTTGCAGATCCACCTTAGAATATCACATTGAAAGACTGAACCATTCCAAAGTGGATTCTAAGATTCCTTTACAATCCAGAACTTTTGCAGTATCATATCGTAAGAAAATAAGTAAGATTTTATAAGATTTATAAGTAACAAAACAAGCAATATAAATAACAGATGCAAAATTTCGAAACTGAAATTAAAACGGGTTCCCCTTTCCAAAAATTAAATAACCCTCCTATGGTATTCTCTTATCCAAAAAATTGAAAATGAAAAATGAAATGAAAAAATTGTATTGACTTACTTCATCTCAGTTGCAGCAGAAGCCGGCCAAACCAACAGCAGTTGTCCAATATCACTGAATTCACTCGCATTTTACTTTCTTTTACTACATCCAAAACAGGTAGAATTTGTCTGCATCCCTTTCTTTGTCCTTAACTGATATCTAAAAAACGAAAAATGCAAAGCTAAACAACTGTCAATTTCTCGAGCTTGTCTAGTAAAATACTATTTGATGATGGGGAATTCTCTTAAGAATTCTCGAAACACATGCAAAATGGTTTCACCTGCTGAAAAACTTGACTCAGACCACCCCATAAAGCCACTATCTGAATCGAGAAAGTAAACTCAGGCCAATATAAACAGATGCTACAGAGACAGTCTTTTCTACAGGCTGCTTGTGAAAATGTTTCACGTTTCTTTGTGTGGAAGGCCTTAGACACTTTTGTTCATGCCGGTATCATACAAAACATGCTTATAGTCTTCAGCAGAGACAAACATGACGCTGTACTCTTATTATCGTCTGATCCAGGTAAGCAATGATTAAGGTGAGGGATTGAGGGATAAATTGTCGATACAGTAAAAATTTATGAATACAGTGTATGAATTTATATAGCAATTATTTAAATGCAAAGAAAACCAAAATAAGAGCAGGGGCAGCAGAAAATGTCAGGTAAATTACATCTTAAATCAAATGTACAGAATATCCAATAAATAAAATGACGATTTTAATCAAACAGAAAAGCAGACCTTAGCTTTGTTTTTTCAATTTTGCAAGAAAAGTAAAAAATAATCAAGGATTGTATTTTTTTAGTAAGAGACATCAACACTTTAACGCCATTTCATAGCAACTATCAGAACATGCATATTTCTTGAAAAATTTATATCAAGCCTAAAATGAGATACATTATTCATCATTCTTCGTGTTTTACAATAGCATTTCGGTATAAATCTCTGAGACAAGTTTCCCTTCCAAGAAAATCTGATAAGAGAAAAACTACAACTTTACAACAAACTAACTTACTGTGAAACTTTCAAGCTTTTGAAAACATTTGTCAGAGCCCTCTTAAAAGCGTCAGTTACGTAGAGAGTATGTTTTCCTTTGACGTCAGCAGTCTTGAATATCTCAAGAGCCTCCTCTTGCTTCTCTTGTTAAGAAATAGATCCCTGGTAATTCACTTACATAACACAAGTCAGAACACCGTGAACAAGTTCTGTCTGGATACTCGCATTTCAATTTCTACGATAGATTAATATAACATGTAAAAATATCTAGAAATCAAGGACAGCCGGAATACAAAAACAGGACAGACTCATTACAGAATCATCTCAAATCCATTATTCACGAGAACTAGCTCTAATAAACATATTAATTACCAAGATGATTTTCTGGAAGTAAATGTGTGAATAAAGAAGCGCGTCTTGCTCTATCCTAGTAGATGTCTGTGAAAAAATCATTGTAATGGTTTAACTACGTTGAGTCAAGCTGTCGAGATCAGGTTATAATTTGTCTCTTCTCCAGTAAAATTCTTTGGGACAGTGAAAACCAAGTTAAACTATTGAGAGTATATTCAGTAGAGATCGAGACCTTGTATGTTTTATTTTCGTCATTGCAATTCAAGTAGCAAAAAACTGTCACCGCAACAGCAGTAACAAAGTTGCATGATTAAAAACTTACTCAGGTTTTCATGGTGTTCATGGTGAACTTACTCCGATTTAATGATTTAGCACATCTGCAGATATTGATAGACCCAATCTTGTTTTGAAATATACATTTAAAGAAGTCAAACGATGTTTTTAGACTACAGGAATGTAAGGGAAACTTTACATCATCAGACTGCAACCATTCGGAGAACCAAGAGGATTCCAAAATTTTAATGTGGCCAAGTGATTTTCTAAGCATTTCTGCGCCTAAGAATACATGGATCCACTCTAAAAAGAAAGGCGATAGTTTTGTGAATAAAATTGCAAGGAAAATGTTGAAAAAGAGAATGAAGAACTAATCGACCAATACCCTTGAATTAAAAAGATTTCAAAGATACATAACACGAAAAATCAGCATAGAAAATGAAAATGAAAAAGTAAGACTTAATGGTGAATGCAAAAGAAACTAGCAACAAGTTTTGAAATTGTTACAAAACAAAATATTCACAAACCTGTCACGAGTCTGTGTTTTTAGCATTTTGTTGTCTTATATATTTCAATAATCTTTTCACCATATTTAATCCTGGTTAATCTCAAGGTGTGAATATCGTTAGCAGAGAGTGTGACGAAGTATTTTTGACAAGTATCAAATCGATTAGCCATAGGACATACAATAAGTATAGGACACAACATTTGGATTAAGTATAACGTATTATGACATTGCAATATATTATAAGTTATTGGAAATTCAGAACTAATTAATAGCGTTAATAGCGATAATAAGGCAATTTCTAGGCAGCAATCTTTGTAGGTGTTTTGCTTGTTATCTTTTTTATTTAGAATTTGTCTTATCTCTAGCTATACTGGAGCTAATTAAAACCGACTACAATTGGACGATGAAAGTTCAGAGATTCTGCTTGAAAATTTGTAAAATTGGAGAGTATATTATTTCGCTTGGTATTGAGTTCCATATATGGCCATATCTAGATGACCCTGTACAAAATCAAAATTTATTTTTTAATGAGGCTCCGCTGTTTAGATTGGAAGGTTCTTAAGTTATATGGCTATTCATTTATGAAAAATATTTCATCCAGTAAAGGAGGCTGTTAAATCTTTTATAAACTTCTATTGTAAGATATTGTAAATTTTTTTCTCAGAATTTGTTGATTTATTCTTTAACAAAAGTTATTCAAAAGCTGATTGATGAATTCTTTAACAAAAGTTATTCAAAAGCTGATTGATGAATCCTGTTTTTCCGGCTTTTACTTTCCTACTGCAAAACATCCAAATAACAGGACAAAAATTCAAGTTGATAAAATTAGGCCGTTTATAGTAAAACCATTTATTTTAACTTTAGATTCCTCTATATCGAATCGGTTGGCTTTAATTAAAAGTTTTAAGCTTGCTATTATCATCGTTAAGCAAAAAAAAGTTTCACATAACCATTCATAAACTATTGCAGTTTCTGATTCTAAGTCGCCAGTTCGTTCATTTATTTTTTAAATATGGCAAGCATTAGCCGTTTTCGTAAAAAAGGGAAACGAGACAACATCTGTTGCCATTTTAAAAACTTTTGACGAAATATTATCGGCTACTGTTAACTTGTGCTAAAATGCGTGCGGTACAATATGATCAGGGACGTCCCGAGGCCTTTGAGGTTGATCTACCTGAAAAGGCCTTTTTTACCTGAACATTTTTATATTCATTCTTGAACATTCACGAGAATGTTCAATAATATGTGATTCACTAATTAATTAGATTCCCTTCTTGTTTTTCAGCAAGTACTGGACACACTTCCGTCCCACCGTTCGCACCACACTTTGAACTATTTTCAAGACTTGAATTATTGTCCGTTAACGAATCTCTCTCTGCGACAAGTAACCATTAGGTCGTTCACTTTTCTTCGTTGTCTCTTGTTTCTGCGAATAGAATTCACCCTTTCATTTAGCTGAAAAAACGTTCATTTGTATGCAACAGATGAGAGTCTAGCCAGTAGAATAAAATTCCGTAGAGTCTTGTAGCTCAGTTCTAGAATATTCCGTACCTTTACTCCGACTGGAAAGCAATATACTTGGCCGTTCACGTTGCATGGCTGCAACTGTGCCATCTTCAGTTTCACCGTTCCTTAGATCCCTCTGTTGTATCTTCTTCGTAGCACTCTCATTATGCGTTTCGAAGGAAAACGCATGCCAGCTCGTGTGTAGAGGTGCTGCCTCTACGAGGAGAGAACCTGGTGGGGAAACATTGAAAGAAAGACTGCTGCATTTTGACATCGAACAGTGGCACCGCCATTTCTGGTGTTCGAAATAGCTACTTTAGTGGAAAGGTTCAAAAGCGTATACCTACATTGAGAACTTTTCCTACGTGTCCAAGTAGAGGTAGAAAGGCTGTTCAATAGACTTGAGAACTCTGTTCTGTAGAAGTTTCTAAGTTTGTCTTAAAATGTTTCACAATTCAAACAGCCATTGAAATTAAGCGGTAGATTTTTTAATGTTT